AATAGGAAAATGATAAATTTATAATATAGTTAAATATATAATTTCCATTCTAATTCTGCTTAATACATTATTTAAAGAAACAAAAAACAAAAAAATGAAGCAATAAATTCAATAACATTAAAACAATAGCAAATAATTAAACATTTTACACATTCCCTTTAATGTTTTATTAAATATTGAAATCTATCATTATTAAGCATTTAATATTTTACTATTTTGTTAGATCTTATAATATTCCAATTTTCTATTTCAAATACAAGTACTACAATACTATCTTATGTACTTTTGCAGAATCTTTTTTAAATTGTACTTTACCCTTTGTCTCTAAAAAAAAAATCTGCTTTTTTTCATCTTGTTTCAAGCCTTTGTGGCTTTCCCCCCCTTTCCCCTTCCTTTCTTATCCAATCTAGCTTTTTTGCCCCCCCTCTCCTAACCTCCGCCTTTTTAGCTTCCCCTCTCTGTTGTATTCCTTTTTTCTGTTGCTTTCTGACATTGTATTGATTTTTCACCTTATTTTTCTCTTTCTTGGTTGTTTTTTTAACTCTTAAATTCTCCATTTTCCTTCCCCTCTTCCTCTTTTCTTTCTTAATTAGTCCATTAAAGATGGGTTCTTCTTCTTCTTCTTCCTCCCAGTCCTCTTGTTGTTGTATTTTCTGGTAAGTAGAAATCGCCATTTCTAAGAAATGAAAAACAGCTCCCAAAGAGCCCTTGCTGTCTTGGTCTTCTTCCTTTAATTTTTCAAATTCCATTTTTAATTCATCCACAGATAATGCCATTATAAAAGCTTCTTCTTCTCCTTCTCCTTCTCCTTCTCCTCCTCCTCCTCCTCCTCCTTCTAAAGCAACCCAAATGTTTTAAATCTTAGAGTAGTTTCCAAGAGTCCCAAAGTCATCAAGCAATCCAAACAGACACAAAATGTTTCATCTTCTTCCCTTTACACTTTTTCCTCCTGGGGCAGTATCAGTTACAAAGTCCCAAAATGTATTTTAAAGCCTTATTACAATTAATTTCTGGTCTTATAATCTTCAAGCGTCTCCTCCAGCAAAGTCTTAGTATATATTTTTTTGTCCTCTCCCTTCCCACTTATAACAAAGAGCTTTTAGTTTTTTCCTTTTATGTAAAAGCAGATTTTTCAATGTCCATTTGCTATCTCCGTAAGGAAGGAGAGTGAACTTTCCCTTTCAGCACTTTCGTTCGCCGCTTTGACAGCCTCCTTTGGAAACAATATATCGTTTAAAAAGTCAGGTTTCCAGGGTGTTTGGATATATCTAAATGTCCCGGTTCAGCCAAAAAACTTTCTCTTTTAAACTCTTCCTCCTGCACAGACTTAGCCGGTTGAAGATTTCTTTGTGGCGGCCATTGCTGACAGCCGCTCCACCGCCTTCGGAGAAAGGAGTCTAGCCAGCTGGGGAAAGGGGTTGCGATGTCTCCAGACCCCTGCCCGGATCTCCTCTATCTTCTGTTACCTCTCCGGGGTAACGACAACCCCCAAATCCAATTGGATCGGGGGTACTCCAGCGGCGAGCGCAGCAGGGACCCGCAGAGTCGCAGATTCCTGCCACCGCCGCAGCCTTGCAACCGGAAGTTCCTCCAAAATAAGTTATACTTCTGAAATACTGAAAAGCACAGCTAACATATTTATATTAAAAACCTAGTGACCAAATATCTGCCTATCTAACTTTGTATGTACAAAACTTTCTGCCCTGCCTTTGGTAATGATGTATTACATTATCTCAAATACAAGCTCTTGTAATTTATTCTGTGCATTTGTAATAACATGGCTATAGTAAGAACATTAATTAATTTAATAATCTACTGAATCTATGTAAATAAAAAGTTAATTAGTTTCATTTCAAGTGTCTATTTTCTTGTGCAGAAATAGTTTTCAGGATATGTGCCTTAGAACAGCCTTCCAAAACTTGGCAGGATATGTGCCTTAGAACAGCCTTTAGACAGAGCTCCTTACTTCCTCTTTAGGCTAATGCTCAGTTTACAGCTCCAAGGATTTACATCCATCATCTCCTTTTATAAAAGATGAGTTGGGGGTGGGGGTGGGGCGGAATTGAGTTACAGCAGTGAAACTAGAACTTCCAATAGAAATTTTCCATAGGAAACTGAAACAAATTTCAGTGACAGCAAAAAACTTTGCTGGGTTTCTCACTACCTCAAAATTAGCCACACAGATGTCTTCTCCAAACAGCATTAGCCAGTTTCAGTTTAAAAAATTCCCTAGTTAAAAGTTGATAAAGTAGTAAGGGATCTGATCATCTCAAAGCAAGATGCTTCTGGATATCTTAAAAATCATTAGACTGGGCAAAGCATTTCCTTCAGTTGTCCTCCTTTAGTTTTCAAGGTGTCAGAAATACACTTTAGTTTCAACCATCAATTCGTAATAGCAATACTGACACAATCAAGAAAGAAGCAAATATTCCCCTTTCTTTGCTGAATGGCTTAGAGCAGTGTTTGGCAGTGTTTGGCAATGTTAAAATGTGTTGATCTCAATTCCCAGAATTCCCTAGCCACAATTCTAGGAATTCAAGTCCAGACATCCTAAAGTTGCCAAGTTTGAAAATTACATGGTTTAGAGAGTTGTCTTGTAACCTCTTATGCCTATTAGAGTGTCATATCTTACCATTGATTCTTAGGTGATTATTTCAAATGTGATCATAGCATTTTCAATTGTATAATCACCAGCCAAAAGTCCATGACACTCACATAATACTGAAATATTCTTTCAGTAGATTGGCACTGAAATATAGTCTGATATTTTTTTAAAGTTTGAAACATTGCACATTATAAACTCAAAAATAAACCCTAAATTATTGCAAATAATATTGTCTTACTTTTTAATTAACAAAATGGCATTATTTATTTCCTGGGACTTGGCTTGTTTTACGCTTTTTAATGGGTGCATCAATATAACTTTAGTTAAGGTAGTTTCCAAAAACCATAAAACCATGTCTTACTTTTCTATTCCTTATGGAAATGAAATTATTATAAACTTGGCATTTATGATTTTATGCACTCTACAATTTTAGCTTATTTCAAACTGACACAAACACTGCTTGAGTGATTCAACTTTTAAAGCCATTTTTGGACAAGTATATGATCTATTTCAATCAAATGTTCGTAACATAGGTGATATGCCAACAAATGTACTTTATTCAGACTTGTGAAGGAAGGCAATTCTTCATTTCTTTTATAAAATTCTGAGTAGCAATTCAAAAGTTACTGGCAAAGACCTCTATGCTGTATTCCAGCACCAGGATGTTTATAAGCAAATGAATCAGAAACAGCCTACAGTAGAACTAGATTATTTAAGTTTTATTTCCTTTAATGGGTAATCAGAATATAATCGCAGTCTCCATTTGCAGTTTAAACCTTTCATTACAAACTTAGAGAAGGAAGTTTAAATAAACAACCCAGGATCTTTCCTTTTTATTATAATGTAGCATAAAGAAGCTTCTAGATATTTCAAAACCTTGGTCCCCCTATTTGAATTTTGCTTATTTCAATAAGAAATATTTTTCTTCTGTTATTTCAATTCACTGTAATATACAAATAGTTATTGGACTATCTAGTTTATATAAGAAACACAAATTTCAAACAAACCTGTGAAAGCATTCACCATGAAAGAAATCATTACTATCGTCATAAAACTTAAGAAGGAAAACAATTTCTTCATTGGTAATGATGAATGTTATTAGTGATATTTTTATAAACACCAGAAAAGTTATGTTCTCTGCACGAACATGATTTTTTCAGGTGAATATTGATAATCTTCCTCAAAAACACTTGTTAATTTAAGACTTGAGTTAAGGCTTACCCATATTAGTTAAGCCATCAAAGATAAGAGAGGGAAGCCACATCATAGAAAATATGAATTTCCTTTATAGAATCAAGTAGGGACAGGATGGCATAGAATATCTTGCTTTTTAAAAAATAATATTATGTATACTGAAATATAATAGAACATATTATAATTACTATGTATACACAAATGTTAGAATTTGAAAGATTAAGACTATGTATATTTAAATGGTACTATCATAGGAGCCTCTGTGGCGCAGTGGTTACAGTACAGTATTGCAAGCTACTTCTGCAGCCAGCTGCCTACAATTTAGCAATTCAAATCCCACCAGGCTCAAGGTTGACTCAGCCTTCCATCCGGGTAAAATGAGGACCCAGATTGTTGGGGGCAATATGCTGACAAACCACTTAGAGAGGGCTGGAAAGCAGTGTAAAGAGGTATATAAGTCTAAGTGCTATTGCTATTATTGTATGTAAAGTATTCTAATACTTCTAATCAAGGGACGTGCCTATTAGCATCCAATTTCCTGGCTTTGTGAAGCTTGAGAGAAATAGCCAAATGAGTATGTTTTTGGATCAGGCGTTATGTTATCCTCACCCTGAATTCATCATTGTACAACAAGCTAAAGCAGACAAAAAGTCTTCGATGCTGCCAGGAACAAATTCAACTGAGGAGCGGGAAGTGGGGAGGAGACAAAATTCTATATTTTATGGTCATCAAAGTGAAAGAGCAAAGAATTAAAGAATATTAAACCATTCAGCTAACACAAACTCAGCACAGATAATATAGAGGGACTAGGAAACAGCCAGTAGTCTTTCATACTCAAAAATATTGTTTATATGAAATGTGATTTACTTTATTGTCGCAAGGTGAATCATCCATTCAGAAGCAGCAAGCCCTCAGGATAAAGGAGACACATATTTCAGCTGGTCTGGGCCTCATTTTTAAGCTATAGGAGATTCCTATAGCATTCCTTACCCTTCTCTGCTTCCCAATCTTTTCTCATGTTGTCTGAAATTTCAAGCACTAAAGTTATTAAGCAACCTGCTCTAATAATTTGACAGAAATAGTGAACTAGCTGAGCATGTTTATGCTTCTTCAACTTATGCAGGGATGTACAACAGCTGTACAATACCTCTATCTGCCCAACACTTTGCTAATGTTTATTAAGAAAATGCAGTTCACTTACTTTCATTGTCACCATCAGGAGGATGATAGAAAGAGAGACCCAGAGAAATTATGGCTGCAATTTCCAAGATGATTAATGTGACATCCTGCAATGCTTCCCAAACTAACTGCAGGAAGGTTTTGGCCTTTTTAGGTGGGATGAAATTCTGGCCAAATGCTTGTCTTCTTTTTTCTAGATCTGCTGGGTTCCCAGACAAGCCTGCAAGCAAGGAAAAAGGAAATTAAACATTACATCAAGAACATGAAATTCCTTTGATCTCTTTTTCTAAAGCATCTTCCATGTTGTCCATTATTTCTAAAACTTAATAATTTCCTGCAAGTGAAAACATAGTGCTCTTTGATACTAAATTGTGCCTGCAAATAAATCTCACGGAAAAATGCTCTCTAAAATAAGTTGAAAACCTGGAGAATGAAACGAAAATTGAAACAAAAAGAGGTAAAAGCATACACCATAGCTCTGAAGAACCTAAGTGATTCCAAAATTGAATATTTCTATTTCCAATATTTAGCTCTGTCATGGAGAACATCACTATTGTGATATGCTGTGCACCATCGTCCCCATGCTGCACTAGTTTATGACTATATAGATAGAGAATCAAATATTAGCTATGAAAAATGAGCATTCTACAAAAAGACAACAAGTAATCCCATAGGAATCAATAAAATCAAGTTTCACTAGACTTCACTAAGGCCAATTTGTTTTATTTTCTCATTTTAAATTCCCTTTCAGCAAGACTGACTAAATAGCATTATTAAAACTACAAGCAGGAAGGCTACATATGCCCACCAGATATTTCAGTCTATATTTCAGTGTTGGAGAACCCAAGCTTGACCTAGTTTTCCTTAGTCTAGGTATCCTTCTTGGGATTTCAACATTCAGAATTTCTTAACTTACATGGCCATTGCTGAGAAGATCAGAATACAAAATACAAGAGTTGGAAGGGACCTTGGAGGTCTTCTAGTCCAACCTCCTGTTCAAGCAAGGAGACTTTAAAATAGAATAGAATATTCTAATAGAATATTATAAGTCTGAGAATTGAACTCTACATATACTACAGAGCGGGATATTAATTTCCCCTGTAAATTTAATGCTAAGCTTTAGGAGTAATTACTACCACTTTCCACTCACAACCTATTGCTACACAGCCAATTTAAAATTGTAGCTAATTAAAGCCACTATTATGAAAAAAAGTTTCAGTTCATATGACTGTGAAGAAAATGCTAGAAAACATATGGGCAATTTCTCAAGGTTGTGCAGAAATCATAATGGCATCAGTCTGATGCCATTATGGTCTGCATTCTGGAGAACCTCTTTTCATATATCCTTCTCCATTTATTTTAACTTTTCAGAATATCTTGGGCCAAAGTCAACTGCCCTAAATGACAGCTGAACAGATTGATAGTGATCTCTGCAGCTGTCTTTTGGGTTTTATGCTGATTTTCACACAGCTGTTTAAAGTATTTTCAACCTGTCTTTTTCCCACTTGTGTGGAAAATTCTGGAAAACTTGACACAGAATGAATTAAGACATCAATATAAAAGCAATGCAGAGAAATTCAAATTCCCTTATTTGAATAAGTGATTTCATTTATTGGATTGGGTATTTTGAAATATTAAATAGGTACACCTGCACTTTAAAAATTAAATTCCTTCGTACGTTCTCTAACAAATGCCGTGGGAATAAATGAAATAATTTATTCCTGTATTTAAATATACTTTCTTACTTTAAGGGTTTTCACCATGAGACTAATATTTTGACTGCTTGAGGGATAGAAACAGCTGCCTATAATGGGGCTTAATCTATATTTTTATTGAATCATATTATCTCACAGTGTTATCAGAGCAGCTCTTAAAAATGCCAATGCAACCTAATTTAATTCTATTTGCTGCCCAAAGTCACTTGTTGAGATGGGCAACCCCATAAATTTGATTTAAATAAATGGCTGATTTCTCTCAAATTATGATCAAAACAATAACAGAGGTGATGAGATCACCATACTGAAAATTCTCACAACATGATAAGCTATAATGGGATATGCTCATTTATTTATGGTTTTGTAAGTCAAAAAAAGATATATTTAGGTGAAAGCATTTATATATAATGTTGAGAGTTGTCTATGTAACAATTAGGAGATCCCCAAAAGGCACCCCTGACTTTTCCAACGTTATTTACCTGTATCAGAAAAGGTCTATATTTTTCTTTCTTTTATGGTCCCTATAGGGGCCATTTCATCAGAAGAGCAATACCATCACAAAACTTAGCTAATTCCCATACTGAGCCATAGGCAAATATATTATGGCCTAGTATGGAATATGGGGATGAGGTGAAGTGGGGACAATAAATTGTCAAGTTGGAATGTAAACAGTGACTGGCTTTGCTCATGTTATAAAGTTGGAAGTTCACTCTAGTTTATCAGCAAGGTACAGAGAAAAGTTGACAGAACTGCATGTAAGGTCAGCCAATTTCCTGGTCACCAAATAAACGCGACAAATTCTTCAGCACACAATAGAAGAATGGGAACCAACCAGCCAAAGAGTGAAACAACTCCTGTCCCTCTTCTCTTCAAATTTTATCACCTTATTTGGTCAAGCAATATTATGAACCACTTACCACCAACCTATAAATTTTTGAAACTGAACAACCTGCATTTATGTGCTATATAGTAAGTTAACATACATCCAAAATTTGCAATTATTTAATTTATTTTGCTACATTTATATAACCAGATTGAGAATGGGTTGCTTTTGGGACAGAGGATTGCAGCAGGAGACTGAAAGCAGCTAGCAGAGCTGTGGTGCTTCTTCTATAGGGATAACTAAGAATCACAGTGCTATAGAGGCTGTTAGGTAAAACCTAAATATTACAAAGAAAACATCTGTTTTTAGTGCTTTAGTTTGCTAAATTCAAATCATGTAGGTTAGCACATACAATATGCCTGTTTTACTGTCAGACTGGATTGGAAAAAATGGCAGGGAATAAACACCTCAGAGATCACTGGGAGCTTTAAGAAGTCTAAAAATATTTCTTCCAAACTATTCACTACTCTTCTAATAAACTCTGAATAATAACTCTGAAACATTTTAGAAATAAACATTACTAAAAGTAATAGCCTCTGGCTTTCATACTATCCTTTGACTTATTGCTGAAAGCACTTCACACAGAAAGTTTTTCTCTTTGGTTTTCCTAATAGAATGTTCCCAAAATCAAACCATTTCTTATATGATGCACAAACACAAAGTGGAGGTGGGGTGGGAGGAATGAAATTAGATATCAGGATTTCATTGTAATTGATGACAGTTTCAATGAACTGGTTTGTTGTGAGTTTTCTTCAGAAATAACATTCCATAGTTCTTTCTTCCGTATTTTACCAAAGAAAAATATTTACAAATCTCCATTGGTACATTGCTACCCCAAAAATCTAAAATCAAAAAGATTTTAGCCTTCAGGATGATGAGCACAGTAATTCATCTGTCCAACAACTTTGTATGATAGGTTTTAATTTCCATGATCCTAGCTCAACAAACTAATTGTTATATACCACTGTGGCTTTTATTTATGAAGACCAAGCAAACTAATTTTAATGAATACTCAAATACCTCTAGGAAGAACTGATATTTCTCAAGAGAATATATGGATTTGTGCAGGGATAAGAAAACAAAAACTCTGAAAGAAAAAGAAAGTGAGAACATGCTCTATTTATCCACAGCTCTATCTACCAAGCCCCCTGCAACTTAAAGCTGTATAAGTTTCAATCTCTCAAGATCATCACTGCAACTTTCTGCTGTTAGAGCAATGAAAACTTCCAACTGACCCTTAAAACATTCAAGAGCTGGATTCCTGACAGCTCTCATAATGCCTTGCCCAGATAGAAAAGGTCAGAATAATGGTTCTGCATAGTAACCACCTGCATGCCAGTTTCTGTGATTGATGGAATGTGCCTCTGGATTCCCAGCAGCCACACAAATTCAGAAGAATTGTCAAACTTTCCTCAGAGATCCACATTCCCGCCCCCTCACAATACATGAAGGGGTATAAGAAAGAAGAAGGAAATTTGAGTAACTAAAACTGCTGGCCTCAACACACACAGATAGAGAGAGGGAGGGAGGGAGGAAGAGGGAGAGACAGAGTGAGAAAGAAAGAAAGAAAGAAAGAAAGAAAGAAAGAAAGAAAGAAAGACATTTTTATTTTTAACCCTAAGCAAACTGTTCCGAAACAGTGCAGCTCTTTTAAGAAAAGATTGAATGTTACCCAGTGTTTCAGGATTCTAAGGGTGAAGTGGGCACAGAGATGCTGAATTTACACAAAAAAAGTTACTATGCTGCTAGATCATCCAAAGACAAGGCCAAGGCCCTGAGGCAGAGTAGCAATCTTCAAGGAAGGTAAACCCTCTCCTAAAGCATGAAACTACGGAATTGTCTACCACATGGTTTAGGAATACCTTCTAACTCTGCCAAAAAGAGATTATACAACTATACTTATGGCTATTATGACGCCTATGTATTGTCTCAGCACTAGAGGCAATAGTAATTATGGAAGCATGTATGGGAAAGTGCTTATTGCACTCCTGTCTTCCTGTCAGCTCCTTATGGACATCTGGTTGGCTACCATGGAAACAGAATGCTGGACTTGACTAAAAATGCTGGACTTGACAGCAGTGCTCTTCTGTTCTCTTGAAGGCATTTTCTGACAGAGGAATCATTTCTTTGCTTCCACTCTCCATGTCCCCAGGTTTATATGTTATTAATAAGAATCACTTCAGGGGTTACTTATTATTTTTACTTTCTCTTTCTTATTAGAAAATAATAAATCTAGCAGCATCGGAAAAACAAGGATGATTGGAAGAAGTTGAGGAAAGAGATGAAACTCTGTACTATCTGGAATCAAAGACTTGGTTGTAAACTTCTCTGGGGCTATATTTATATAAACATACGCAAGGCAAGCACAATCTTACCTTGTCATTCCCTTCTTTTTCTAACAGGTTGAAACATGTTCACTGAAATAATATAGTCTCTCAAAGCTCTCTTTTCCTCCATTTACTTTAAAGGATATACAGAGTCATATTGCAAAAAGACAATAGGCCTTCCAGAAAAATGAAAGGAATCAGTAGGTCACTAATAGAGATACATATTCCACTAGACTTTATAGGATCAATCTTTTCTCTTCTTACTTTAATTCCCTTCTCAGCAAGAATAATCAAA